TATATATATATATATATAAGATTTTTTTTTTAGAATTCATTAGCTATTTTTGATCATTGTGGCCTAAAGCAATTACCACTGTGATCACCATATAAATACTTAATTTATTATTTATTTATTTATTTTATAATTTATATTTACGACAAACTATGTGAATTAAATATCTCTCTTACTAAGTCGCTAGTAAGAAGTCAACTATGACATGACACAAAGACTAAGATCGAATAGAAATTTTAACATAATTTTTTTAATAAAAAGTAAAACATTTTAAATACTAGAACGACGTCTACATGACTCAATCGTTGATCCAATCATTAGCTATCTCGATCTGATATGATCGTCATATGAGTCTTACTAGAGAGTAAATATTATCCTATTAATATTTTAGTTAAATTATTTAATTATTTATGACTAAATATGATCATGAAATAAATGATCAATTAATTAAAAAATATATCGAATGATATTCCAAAATATCAGCTCTCAATAATAAGTCGTAAGACTAATATTTTAGATATTAAAAAACATAAAAATCTCAACTTTGAAAAGGGGGTATAGCACATTAGGTGTATGTTTTTAATAGAGTTCAAAGACGAAATCTATACAAATTGTTGTTGACAGATTAAATTTCGTGAAGATTGATCGTGTAGCAAACTTGAATCTTTCCTTGGTAACTAAAACCTTGGATGAGGTCGGAAGGTGGAATGTATGGGTCTTGTCGTCTCCATCGGAGTAGCTCTCCTTAAATGCAAGGTAGATCGGGCAAGGAAGTGCAACTTCAATTGGAATGCGACTAATAGCTAACGTTCCTCCTCGTGGAGCCTTCGACTTACATCACCTTAGAAAAGAGCGAGTGATCTTTCTATCTACGTTTTATCTTATCAAATATAATATTTTTTTGTCGTTGCTTTTATCACTAATTTATCTCTCAGGAGTTTCAAACATTTATCTTATAAATTATTTTTATCGATTCGATCGATCACATGTCTTCACCATTTGCCACGAGAAAAGGATTAACGGTGAAAAAAAATCATGTATTTGAAACTCATGAACTAATTATAGATTATTCATGTAATTAATTATCTTTAGTATTTTGATTTTTATATTTTTTAAATATTATATTGAGATCCTCATGCTTACGAAGGTGAAATATTTAACCTTGTTACTTTAACAAATTATCTTTCTAATCCTGTATAAGGATTTAGATGTTTCAATTTCGTAACTATAGAGATCTCAATATAATTTTTGAGAGTAAAAAGATAGCTAAAACTAGTTAATTATCGGAGATAATATGTAATTAGCTCGAAACTCATCACATAACTAATTGATTTTAGCCTCACTTAAAAAAATAGACTAACTCTTAATTTATAAGAATTTGATAAGCATAATATTATTAATTTTAACCTAAATATTTTGAACTAATAGTTTAAGTTCAACGAAGTTAATAGATCATTTATCTCGTTAGATCGGATCGTGATTATAGACATCAAAATCGATCTAATATTAAATTACGAGAAGAAAACTCAAGTAGAAAAAAATTACTCAACCAAGTCTCACGTGCTACAATATGGGCAGTGTAATGTATAATCTAAGTTCCTCGATGATTAAAAACTAATTTGTTCTTCTCACATAACAATCTAATTTTACTTGTAATTAATTGCTAGTAGAAGTCAACGCGACCATCATCCACGTTTTTCCCACAACACTTAATAATGGTCAGCTACATACATATTTTAGATCAGTCTAACCAAAAAATATAAGAGCAAAACCCATTGTAGTAGTTTATAAAAGCACAAATAAGAAGAGAGTCAAGTTTACATGCTTTGGATAATTGAGATGGTCTTAAAGAACAAATTCAAAAGAAAAGAAAAGAAAAGAAGAACAAAAGTCAAACAAACCCACGGAATTTTGTCAGTCCTCATCGGCAACTAATCAACTCTTGTCGTGGAAGGCTTTCAAGTCAAAAGAAATTTCGAGCTACAAGTCGGTGGACTCGACCAAGGAAGTCGACTCTCACATCACTTTCCGATGAACTCGTTGTCGGAGCTCCATATTTTCCTTTGGCATCTAAAAGAACATTTGTGGTGGCATTTTTGCATTATGCCACTACTGTTTTGATCATCCGTCGGAATCACCTACACAGATGTTTGAACCACTCCGCTCATAGTTCATGCGAGTTAATGGGGAAATATTAATAATTTATCGTTGCAAATACTACGCGGATATGTATTATTATTATTATTTAATGAAATACAAACGATTTGATATGATGGAAATTTAGTCAAATGTCGTGTTGGTCAACGAAACCATATTATAATTTTTAAGGGCTTATTTGTGAAAGAAGTTTTTAGAAGGACTAAATTGCAAAAGAATTTTTTTGACTTAATGCTTCGCTATTATATAAAAAAACAAAGGAAACGAAATCAGAAAATGTAACATAAGAGAAAGAGAGAATTTAGCGGATAGTCTTATAATTTTTCTTAATAAAACAGATGATGTCAGAGTAAATAGATATAGATATTTTACTTTCATAATTATAGTGATGCTAATATAATTTTTTAAAATATAAGAATCGAAATATTAAAGATATATAATAAATTAAAAATGGATAAAAAAAATGTTATATGAATTGTTAGATTTAAAATGAAAGATAAAAAAAATTATTCAAATATTAGTTTTCGAAATATATTTGAGACCTGATATTGCATGACTAGCAATCCGTCATCTTATCATAAGAATACAATAATAGCCGTTAGAATTACTATAAATATGTTTTTAATATGTACTAATAGTCATAATTATATTTATTATGAATTTATACATGTATGCTAACTATATTTATTTAGACTATGAATAACCGATAATTACATGAATATGATATTGATTTTGATATACTATTTGGTATAATTATTATACTGTTTACTCTAAAATAAATATCGAGCTTATGGTATTTGATAAAAAAAAAGGAATAATTTGACATTTGATATGTTTTGCTAAATTAATTATGAAAAGTATTTATAATTATATATTTATATGCATTAAGATATGGTACTTATGGGTCTATTGTTTTTTTTGGATCCCAACAAATATTATTATTATTATTATTTAGAACCCTCTTTATTTTGGACTCGTATGATGTCAATGTGAAATGTTATTTTGGATCTATTTTGTAATTATATAAATATACTGATATTGATTGTGATATAATAATCACAAATAACTTAAAAGAATTTTGTTGCTTTGCGAGGATTTCTTTATGTAGAAATGAGTGGTCGAAATATAATTATACGATTAAATTGTCTATGAATTAAAAAATGATAAATATTTTATAGAGATGAATTATATCATCATTGACGCCAAATGACACTTTTCATATTATTCTTTGTTCAAAAGTAGGCAATTAATGAGGATTCATTGTTCAAACGTAATTAATGATTTCACACATTTAGTCAAAATGGACGACGTCAAACCAATTTAGATGGAGAAACCTAAACAACTTAGTATTCTCATGCATATAAATGCTCTACCTATGATGGAAATTGACACATCATGAAAGTCATAAGAGCTCGTATACAAATAATATGAAATAAAAACATCTTCAGGAATATTATATAGATTAAATAAAGTTATAGTTTCGAAGTTTGATATTGGAGTGCATAATTTACTATAACTTGTTTCAATATGTTTTTCTTCGTGACTAAGGAATACATTAAAAAAGTTTACCATTTGTAAAATATATAATTTCAAAAATTTCATGGAGGATTGTTTCATGTACTAGTACTTATTTTGATGTTTAAGAGTTAGAAGTAGGTTTAGAAACTGATAATATTGACAGAAGTTTTCTTGAAGTTCTCTCTTAAATTCTGTATCTTTTGAATACTTCTTTGAATGATGAGTCTTTCATTTTTCAAGTCTGTATTCTTATTTATTTTTTTTAGGTGGTAACCTTTCTGTATCCCTTTGTGATTTTAAATTTGATGATGAACTATTTTTTGATCTTATTGAAGTATTACCGTGAGTTCGTTCCTTTTTTATCCCAAAAACTCGTTCTAATAAATAACTGTACTGTCGACTTTTCTTTCAAAATTCATTCTACGTTACCACTCGTCATCAACCAAATCATCATCCATTCAATTGGATTAAAAGGGAAATGAGAAAGAATGTGAATCCCAACTCGTCGTGTATTCCACACGGTAACATTGCGTGTCTCCGTCCTTCCATCCTCAGGAAGGCACAGCAGTCATGGAAGCCATTGCATTGCATGCAAAGCCGCTGACCTGTCGTAGTTAGTGTGTGCGTTTGCAGGATCTGACCATTTTCCATGACGTGCAGCCACCGAAGCTTGCTTCGAGGAAGAAGGCGTTTCTGCGATGGATGTGCAAAGGAATCGAATTGGCCCCAAGTGGGGGTGGTGGATGGATGAGCTTACAGTGATCCGATCGAGGAGCTCGATGTGGACAGAAACATAAGTCTACTTCAAGACAAAACGAGGAGGAAGATGAGTTGACACCTCATTATTTTCATTCCTATATCAAAGATCAATTAGATTGATTAATAAAAATACTATTAATATTGACTTGGATTTAAGAAAAAAGAAAATTTAAATCAACAGTTCAAGTTTATCAAGTTAATAAATCGATTATCCAACCAGTTTGGTTAATATATGACATCATAATAAATCTAAGTGAAAAAGTTTGAGGATCAATCAGAGTCTAATTTTAGATGACCGTATTACAGCTTATGCATTCATTAAGTTAAAATATTATCATTTATTTCCATATAGATTTAAGCTACAGGCAGTTGCTGAAAATTGTCGATTGGAACGTAGGAAAGCACAAGAAACTTAATGTTTACATCAAGGTATGTAATACCGTATCGTACTGTACCGATCTTTCGAGATTGGCTCGATACGATACGGTACTATGTACTGGTCGGTACACCAGGACATACCGAGCGATACACACACCAGGACGTACCGAATGGTTTTAAATATTTCTTCCTCTTATTGTAGCACGTTCTGTCCGGTAGCAGGTAATCCGCGTACCGATATACCGTCGGACCAGTATGTACTATCCGTACCGGATGATACTATTCGAAATTGCATACCATAGTTTATATCATAATCTCTTATCCTCTCTATTTTTTAATCTAAACTTTCAAAATTTAGATGACACCATCTAAGAAGTAATCTTCAAAATGTTATCAACATGTTATTATTGCAAACATGATTATGGTGGATGAACAATAAGGAAGAACAAATTGTCCAATGCAAACTGGGTAATTACACTTTAACAGAAACAAGTTTGACAACTTGCATAATGACAATCCCTTGAAATTTAAGGGGAAAAAATGAATATAATTTGAATTGCTACTTGGATCATCATATAGTATGGATATAATAAAATAGGATCTAACTGATCTAATCACGTTTCCTTAGGGCCCTACTGATACAGTTGATTTTTTATTCTCACTGACACAAAATAAAACAAAGGAAAAAAAAACCCCCAACAATTCAGCATGTCAATGGGAGGTTGCAGGCAACATCCAAAATGTTTTGGTTGCCACAAGAATTTTCTCCCTATCACCTGATTCTGGCTCACTCTTGTGCACCTGGATTGTCCACCGGATCGCATGGGCGATGCGTGCTACTCTGTCTATGACTTCTGGTGTGTCCCGTACCACAGCAGTTCCTTGTGGCCGCAACATGCGGTCCATCTCCACCATCAGATCGACCAGGCTACACCTGTGACGAGTGAAGAACAATACAACAGGTCATGGTCATTAAACGTAGACAGGGTTCGGAAAACCGAAATTACCAAAAAATTTTGTTGTTTAATGGTGCTGTTGGAGATGCGAAATAGCATTACACACAAAAATAATGTTCATATTTATTGTTTAATACTGCTGTGCAACTTGATTTTGGAAAACGGATACAAGAACTACTACTGAAATTCCAAAATGCAAACCATACATCAAAGTACAAAAGGGCAACCATGCTGGCCATTGACCATTCGGTTCATGCAAAAAAAAAAAAAAGGATGAACTTTCAATATTCTAGAACTTCATCTAGATGTTTTCTTGTCATAAAAATGTTCAAATTATAAAAATGAGTGAGTCTAAATTTCAATTGCCAGAGTCGTTTTGGCAGACATCAAGAGGAACATGAAAGTATTGGTATCTAGATCATTATTAATCAATGAATATAAACAAGGATATGAGCATCATTAACATAGCCATATGAAGTATCTTTTTATTTATTCTAAACAGATAGTAGTAAAAATATGATATTAGCACAATTATTCATTCTTAACAAATAGCAAAAGATGGGGGTACATAACGAAGTTCTAGGTCAAAGTGAATTTAGAATGTTATGATTTACTAAAAAAAGTGAATAAATACCGATAGTTTAATCAGACTTAATAATTTTTGTCAAACTTCATACCTAGACATACATGCTCCATGATTTGGAACAGTCTAGAGTATGTTTGCAAGTGCATACCAATTTGAGCAAAGGGAAAAATGTCAAGATCCTTGTTTCTATTTCCTTTTCAAGTTTATCAAATCCAGTTATCTGTCTTGAGAAAAAGGTAGACATCTGGACCAAACACTAAAGTAATCACGTGAATCTGTATCCACGACCTTGGTTACCAGATAGGTATCCTTCAGGAATCCGTCTGCTTAACTTGCTCTCTATTACTTGCTCCATCCAGAATCAGGTCTGATTCGATCAGATTATATTAAGCCTCTTTACAACCTAGTGATAAATAGATAGTGCGAAGCTCAAAAACTCCAGCTGGTGAGTTGTGAGTTACGGCAATGATGGATGAGTTCTTCAGTGTCCGATAATTCAAGTCCATCAACTTGTAGTAAATATTACTAAATATTAAGATAATCACCACATACCTGTCGTTGTCAGATGTTGTATCTCTTATCAAGGAGTTAATTCCTGCTACATGAATGAGATCATAGGTTCTCGGGTAAGTAGAGAAAGCCTCACACCTATCATCACAAATATAACATTATTAACACTCCAAATGTGGACACTAGACTGATGTGCTCAATATATCATCAGTTCATCACAATGCCAAAAACGAAGAGGATTTCCAAGAAGAGAAGCTAAAAGTAAGAAAGCTTGGACTCTTTATCGACAAATTCCTGTCCATGTAAATGTTCCATGCCAACATTGCTAGTTCATCTAAGAAAAATTATTGGGATATAAACTCTGATATTAATTGAAGAAATATTGATACAATTTACTGGGCCAGGGTATCAGTGTCTTGAAAGCTTACCAATCATGATATAATCCAATAAGACCTCTGTCATAAATAATATCAAGAGTTAGCGGATTTTGAGCAGGTACGACATTCATGACCCAAACTGGATCAGAACTTAATGCTGCTGCAAAGCCTCCAATAAAAGCATTCATATCCATAACATTGCGTATGCGTGGATTCCCTAGCTCCACACCAAGGGATTTCTTATAGTATACCACTCTTCTTGCCCAAAGTTGTGTGTCAGCCTCAAACATATCAATCCCATTTTTCATTAATGAGACCCTTGCAGGAGTTTTGGACAGCCTCTGTGGCCATTCAGGGATGGCACCAATAGATATTTCTTCTGAAAGAGGGACTTCAGTGATGCACTTCCTTAATTTAAAATACCTAGAAGAAAAAGTTGCCAATAAGTAATATGCAATTTATATTTTAAAGGTGATCAGCAGCAGGAAATCTGCCTATAGATTACTCTATATAGATGAAGAAGAAACTTCTCATAAAGTTTACCATGCTTCATTTGGGTCATCATTGTCACTGCAGCGATCAAGCCTAAAATTGTTTAGGTTAGGGAGACAAGAAGCACCAGAAGGCTTCTTCCAGATTGCTGTGTTACCATCCACAGTAATAAGCTTGTAACATAAGGCATGAGCCATCGCCTGGAGATCAGCCCACTCCTTGTCCTGATTAGTCCATTGCACAGGTGGACCAGATATTACTAGATATCCTTCTGGTCGAAGTAAACGATCCACTTCAACAAGATAAGTTCCATCTGCATTCCATTAGATTAAATAGACTTAGATGAATTAGAACTCTAAATTGTGGGTCCAAGCAATTGAATAAAAAAACATGAAAACAAGAAATCTCACTGTGAACAGTAAAGGGAATCAAGCATCGAGAACAATGAACAAGGTCAAACGAAGATGCAGGAAATGGCAGTCGCCGGGTGCCCAGCATGGCTACAAATGCAGGAATCCCTCTTTCTAATGCGAATTGAATTTGAGATTTATGCGAATCCCTGGGAGCAAATGAAAGTGTCATGATATCCTCCTTGAGCAGGAAGCCTCCAAAGCTGGCCACCTACATGAAGTTTCAAGCTAAATTCTGAGTCTCTGACAGGAAAAAAAGCACACTAGAAGGAGATTCATAACTTCAAGAGTGATAATCTCTTACCCCACATCCCATATCCAGAGCAGTCCTCACGAGGCCTTTGTTTAAAGGGATAAACTGGCCAAGCATTTCGATGTAATTTATGGCCCCATCTGGGAACATAGTACCACCACCTGGAAAAATGAAGTATGGCCCCTCTTCCTTCATCCAGCCCTGATGACCTTTCCTCTCTGCAATTTTATTATATGGCATGTTATCATGCCATATCTGCATGCATATTAGAAATCACACGTATTATTCCTGATCAGATAGATTGTGAGGCATCGTCAAAACCAGAGAAGTTTCATGCAACAATTTTGACCTCTTTTAGCATTCTTGAGATTTCTTCTCAGTGACCATATCACAACCACTCAATTTCAACAAAATCTTCACAGTTTTGGAAACACCGTTCAATGAGTATATAGGCATAATGGCACATGGGCTTCTTGCACAGATCTTTATCAAGCAACAGCTTTTTCTTTCGTCCCCTAAAAGATTATCATAACCACTGAAAACCTAATGTGTTGAAGCTGTCTTTGGTCAATATTTGTTCAAGAAGTCATCTCATGACATATTTACTACTGCACCTTCCGATTCATAGTTGGCATATTTACAACTATCTCAGAAATGAAGTCACCTGGCAGATGTGGTTCATGCAGCAATTCAACAAATAGTTGAAATTAATTACCATAAAACTGCGAAAACTTCCAATTTTCTTATCAACAGTTAATCTTTCTCTTTTTTCCTTTTAGCATTGTCAACATTTCAGGGGCAATTTCGACCACATATTCCTGGCTAGCATGGATTCACAACTACAATCTGGGTGTCAGCCATGGCTCTCCTGGGAGAAAATAATTGTAAATGCACCTAGAGAGATGATTTGCTTGATGATTAGAAAGAAATATGGTTAGTTCATCTAATTGAGAACTTTAATCGAACTCTTTGATGTTAATACGGGCGACACGGAGATACTGCTCGCTAAGGTAGGCAAAATAGGCTAAAATTCAATCATAAACTAATTTCTGCATGTATATAGGAAAGAAAACAACATCATCTCATAGAATTCCATTCCAAAGATCTTAATATATGTCTCTCTCTGATACACTCCACTAAACAGCTAACTGTTGACGGATGCTTTACTGACATAAATTTTCCATAGATATCCTCAATCACCAGATCCGAATTATAACAGTCAACGAACACAATAATTCTCAACATCAGCAAGCAACGAAGTAGAGGAATCAGAAGTAAAGGGCGAAGGTACCTTGTGGAGGCTCTCCGGCCACGGAACCGGAATCCGGTACCCTTTGGGCGGGGGCACGAGGCAGAGCGGCGTCTCCCCCGGCAGCGGACAATGCCGCTCGCGGTAGAAGTTCATCTCCCTGCTGAGTTGGCTGTTGCGGCGGGGATCCTCGCACGGCATGTTGTCGACCTCCTCGGCCGGGCAGGAGTCAATAGCGAAAGGGGACGCAGTCGGGGAGTCGAGTAGGGCGACGATGCGCTCTCGCTGGCGGGAACCGGCGGCGGAGCGGGCAAGGGCGCGGCGGCCGGAAGCGGCGAGGGAATCGCCAAGGGAGGTGACGATGAGCACGAATAGGACGAAGACAGCGGTGAATAAGGCGGCGGATACGAGGTCGAGGACCCCCCACCGCGGCCTCCCCGGCCAACGCCGGCCCTGCGGGACGTTCACGAGGGCCATTCCCCCGCCGGAGCCTATCGGATACACGATCCGATCGAACCCGGCCGGAAGAAATTGCCAAGTAGGGTGGAAATCGAGACACGCAAAGAACGAGCCGAGCATGGAATGCACGTGCACATGCAGCATCCTGTCACGTGCATATGCATGTGCGTCCCACATCGAGATAACGTAGCAGTCGAGTCACCCATGGAGATAACGTAGTGCAGCCGGCAGTCACCCACCAACACCAGTCAATTCTCCATCATGGCGCCTACAAAGTTTGTTCTTTGACTTGATTGACTTATCAGCACAACTTACCATTAATATAAGCCAACACAGAGTACAAGACACAAAGCTAAACATTACATCGCTGGCCTGATCTCATCAGACACCAAAAGGAAGACGAAGTTAACCCCCTAAGAACACACCCACGGTTTAAGCTCATCATCAGATTCCTGGGGGCATCCCCAAGCTATCCAACCTGCCCGCTCCTGTGTAAGCTCTGTTCGCGAGCTTGGCGTGCAGAGCTGATGACCTCTGGAGTGAGCCGGAGCCGGACTTATCGTTCTCAGGCCTCTGCTTTGGCGCGCTCTGAGACCGCGCTTTCGCTCTGGAAGATTCCGTGTTCGCCATGTAGTTCGGGTGGTCTGCGGATCCATCGAACAGGCTCCGAGCGCACTCGTTCTTCGATGGCGTGAAGCAACCCTTCCGCGCGTCTCCGCGACGGGATGAGGTGTAGAGGAACTGTGGGCTTGCAACGAAGTCCACGGACTCGAAAGGGAACCTCATGGAGCTCAGGCATCGCTGCATGGCGACGGAGGGTGGGCTACGAACAGACTGTTGAAGGGTTGAGAAGTCCTTTAATGGTGAGTCTTGAACTGCAGTAAAGCTATGGCTCTTTCGATCCGGGGTCAAGGTGGAGCAAGCGCACTGATGGTGGTTGTTCCTCTCGTGAGTGAGTTGTGTCTTCACAGGGTCTTCTACTTCCAGGATCTTAGAACTCCTCTCGTCATCCATCGATGCAGAGCTTCCTGCTTTTTTGGCGGCGGCTTCTCGGCTGTTCCAATACCTTTCCTCCATCCATCGATGGAACATGTTCCATGCAGCGATGTTTCCGGCGTTGTTCGAGGGGATTCTCTGCAGAAGAAAGCAGCATGAAGCGATGATTCCCGCAGCCCCTTCACTAGTCTTCAAGAAGCACAACTGAGAGTTACCTTGAGAGCGCAAGACCTATCAGAATTTGAAGCATTTGCTCGAACAGTTCGTTCATATTTCTCGGGAGTCGGAGGTCCCTAACACAAGAAACGTGATGGAATGATCAACAGGAAATGAGGTTTCGGTTTCCTGATGTGAATGAAAGTACACGAAGAGATAAGCGAGAAGACATACAGCACGTGGAGGAGGGCACTTGTCGGAGCTGCTCCTCTCGGAGCGAAGGGCTCGGCATGCACGAGCTCGAGCCTGGACTCTCACCAGTGCCTCCATGCACCGCAGAGTCTGTGCAGCCTGTTTCCTAACGATGTTGCCTCTCACCAAAGCCTGGAGCTTCACCAGCCCTCTTAACGCTCTCAGCGCTCTCCTTGCCTTCATAATACCAATACCATCAACAACTCCTCACTAAACAGAGAAAACGATGAACTAAATGAAAGTGGACGACGGAAGGTTAAGGGAATTCTCGATATGTGGTCCATGGAATTCATGGCGTTGAGTGACCATGTCTAACACGAGAACAACCCTTCTACATGTGGACACTTCATAGGAACCGAACAAAAGCAAAAGCACAAACCACCAAAGAATGAGAGAAGAAGAAAGGGAGGCTATGAATCCAAGTGTGGTGGTAGCCATTACCGCTGCGACATGCTACTATTAATGCAACAGCTAAGATGACGGAGCACCATCAATGAACCAAGAGAGAGAAAGAGAGGAAGTAATTGATGGGAACAACAACAAAGAAAGGAATGGGAAAGGCAGAGGCCAAAAGAATCCTCTTTTAAGGAGGACAAGGCATAAAATATGAATCGTTAGCTCGATTCATATTAGTTCATATATATACTTGAACAGATAACATGTTGAGTAAGAAGGTGAAGAAAAATGATATGAAAAAGAAGATAATTTTCTCGTAGAATTGTATCAAATTTCTAACTTTCTGGAAGAAGGAAAATTTTCTGAAGTTCCAATTGTTGGGAAACGTTCTCGATTGGAGCTTTCAGTAACTTGCTGCAATCTGTGATTCATGACGACAGAGGGGAAGAAAAGAAGGGGAGAAGGATAGCTAACCAGATAACCCCGCAGTGCAGACTGGATCTTGACCGCCGCCCACTCCTCCCGCTTTCCGCCTGCGAGCCCCACCACAGTCAGCCGGCTGCTCGTCAACCTTGCCACCACGGCCACCGCCTGCGCCGCGGCCATGGTGGCCTCCGCCGCTGCCGCGGTCGCTGCTGCGACCGCGATGGCCCGCTCGTTCTGCCGCCCCTCGGCCACCATGACGTACGACCTCGGCGTCTCCCTGTACGACCCCTTCCGCTCCTCGGAGACCGCCGGCGACGCCTCCAGCGGCGTCGGCGGAGGCGGTTCTCCCCTCCGTAGCTCTTTCTCGCGGAACGACTTCACGAAACCCCATCTCCGTTTATCCTTCTGTTCCAGCGGTGGCTCGCGGGGATCAGCCTTCTTCCTCGGAAGGAGCCCCCGGAGCCACCTCGCGGTTCGCCCCATACGCTCACCGCCGGCCCGCCGGTCGTGGTGAGTCGAGCCCTCCGGTTACGGCCCTCATGCCCGCTGTAATCTAAGAGAAGGTCTACCAAGGAGCAAAGGAGAAAGCCAAGCAAACAATAAGGCTTGGAAGAGAAGGCAAAGAAGACTAGGAGTGTAAGGCGACGAAGCGTGTCATGACTCGCACTTATATGACCCCCTCTCTCTCTCTCTCTCTCTCTCTCTGTTGTTGTGGTCGTGGTGGTTCCAAAACCCATATTGAAAGCGTTCCCATGTGAAAGTACTGGAATGGCCCTTCTTCCACCACCACCCCCTCGGCCGCTGTGTTGGCCGTACCACTCGGTGCTGCTCATCTTCCACGCCTTCGGCTTCACGTGAGCAGACTCTACAGTGACGACAGTGGCTTCACCTGCCGTTGGATCTGTGATCTGAGGCTTCGCCCTCTGCATGCATGCGTGAAGTCGAGCGGCTCATTAACGCTTTGCATTCGTGCAGCTTCTTCCGGTTATGGGACTACGCAACTTTGGTGCTGATGGCAGGGAGGGAAAGGCGTGGGTGGGTGGGGAGAGGCGAGCATCTTATTGGCTATTCGCTTTTGTTCTGCTTCTTCTTCCCCTTCTGGATATAAAAGGACGCATCTTTCGATGGAGAGAAGGGCAGGGAATGGTGGGGAGATGGTGTGTTTGTCTCGGTCCTCCTCGTCGAACTGACGGCCAGTTGCGTCGGTGACTGCCCGGACGCAGATCGACGACGGAAGGACGAGAGGTGTTTTTTTTTTTTCCGCCAAAGTGGTAGTGCCTTAAAACTATATTAAGGGTTGAAAAGAGGATGAAGTGCTTTACTCTATATATATATATATATATATAAAACCCCTCTTTACTATTTACAATCTTATTTTAAAATTTTTAAATATTTGAAATATCTTATTTCTCTTTTTTTTTTTTACCCTCGTACTCTTCTTCTTCCTCCTCATCCTCAACTACGATACACAATCTTGATGGGTCACAATCTTATTGTTTCTGTCATCAAGATCTACCCCTACGGCTCCATTCTTGCCTCTGTCTCTAACAATAAGACTCTTCTGCAAGTGGTTCACTATCATCTTCTCCCTCCTTGCTGTCCAGCCATGAGGAGGGCATCTTCGATCTCTCATTCTCCTTCGACGTTATTTTTGCTTCGCATTTGATGATCGTACTATTTAGATCTTGTATTTTATTGTCAAGATCAATTAGGTGATATAGAGCATAGGCTTAGGCGATAATCGACAATAAGGAACACGTTAGGGGATGATGATTAACAGCAAAATACGGTGGGAGCCTCAGCGACGACGATAGGGTGAGCAGGTTGCTGACAAAGGAGAATGTTTTGTTACGTATATTGTTGCCTTGATACCGTTGATCATGGGATCCACACGACTTCGTTCAATTTTGAAGGCGTAAGCTTGTCCTAGGGGCCCATGGGGGGTCACGAGAGGAGGTTGGAGCAAACCCGACTAACGGTGATCCTATGGTGTTGCTTATTTGCTAGAGGTATATTTGGTGTCATCTCAAGGTGCACCTTAGCCTCGCCGATGTCCTTGCACAAATGGTGGTTGTCGAGAGGATATTCTCGACCCGACCCCTCGATGGTAAAGTTAATTGGGAGATGAAACATGATAGAAAAGTCTCTCCGTTTAGACTTTAGGGGTTGACTTTTATACATAAGCGACCAATAGAATGAGGCCAACGACTGATCAAGGTGCCTCTTACGTCCTCCAAGGGCTCATTTATATCGACGATTGATGGGTACACCTCTCTGTGGGTGACGTTAGGGAAGAACAACTGCAGGGGTACCGTTTGTTAGGGTTGAAACATGTTTGGGATGAGTAGGGGATGGTTCCCTGCACTAAACGTCTGAAAAGAGGGAATATGAGAACTGGGCTGTGCCACCTCGGATTAATGCCCTTTGCCATCTGGCATGCGAGCCTTCTAAAATCAAGGTTGACAAAGAGTGACAGGTCGCTCGCGACAAGTGATCCAAAAAAGAGAAAAGGAGGGATGTGCCTTGCTACGAGAGATTAATGCATAATTCGACTAGCTCGTGTGACCTTCTCAGAGATCTCGATGGGCAGGGACCGGTGGATTGTGCTCTTGTCGACGACCGCATGGGAGGGGCACAGGTTCTTCCGCATACGTCATCGCCTAAGTGACAATCCTAGACTAGATGAGTCGGTAGTGTAACGCTTACATCATTACTTTCGCTATCAACATCCTTGAAATTGCATTCATGTTTTGGGGGGAAGTCGAGTATAGTAGCAACAGAGGTGTTTGTTGAATTGCGTTTCACATTGTTCTCCTTTCTCTGAACTCCAAGTTTGGAGTTGACCTGTGCAGCCTGCTGTCACTCTTTACACCAAGTCCAAAGAAATCACCAAAACAGATAGCAAAAAGTCCGGCTTATAGTGATACAACAACGTCGACGCTCATGTTTACAGGCGATGATAACAGGGAACAACGCAAAACTACTACTTGTCTGCACCGAGTGAAGCGCATCACATCTCTGCAAGCTTTTAGGAGTCGTCCTCAATGCCCCTCTTCCGCGCATGCATTATGAGAACTCTTTCCGGTGCCTGTAAGCATTCGAATTCTGTGTAATGACTGCTTGCATGAAACACCTTCAAGAAGGGGCAGGAAATGGAGCTTGCAACTTACTTACAATTCCTTCTTTCCGCTCTCATCGCCAACTTGGCAACTCTCGTCGAGCTCATTGTCACCGCACGCGCGGTTCCGCGAGAAGACCTTCGAGGCCTGTTTGATCGATGTCGGCAATGAGAAGGACAGAGAGCTAAAGAAGAAGAAGAAGAAGAAGCACAAGCAATTCGAAGAAATCTGCACCAGATTGGAGACGGACGACGCGATGGGAGGCGGCCGCCGCCACCGGACTCGCTTGCACGTTCTTGCCGGACCATGAGCTTGATCTTGGTTTCCACGCAGCATCTCCGAGCAGTTATCGTCGAGCAACGCGGCGTCGCTTGAGACGGTGATTACGCCGACGAAATCGTCGTCTTCGTACAGTGGGCTCTTGGTCACCATCGCCATGAACATCTCGCCTGACTTCTTCACGAAGGCAAGCTGACCCGACCATGACTGGCCTCGGCGCAGTCGGTCCATGATCTTTCCCAGGTATGGAATTTTTTCTTCGTTCATCAGCAAATCTCCGACCCTTTTGCCGAGGGCTTCATCCTCCAACCATCCATATAAATTTTCCGCTGATTGATTCCTGTTCATGGGAGAAGAAACTCTTAATTCTACTACCAGCTAAAGGAAATCAAAATCCGAGTTTAAGTTGTTGGGTGAAAAGAGAATATTATCGATCAATCATCACGAGTCTAAAATAAATATTTAGTTGTCTCCACCCTTACCCATCTAATAATATTAAGTTGTAATAATATTCTATAAAACATTTAATCCCTAAGTTACTATATATAAAAGCTCATTATTCACATAATTAAGAGGTTATTTTTTTTTATCATTGGTGATCGTAATATCTAACTTGGGTTATTAATCTGGACGTTGGAGGTATCAGATCGAAAAATCACTCCCAACATCAGTCTTTATATAGTTAGCACATCGAGAGCTCAATATTTTCACAGTTCGAATAATTCTATACATAAATATTTCAATCATATCGAACTGACCCGTTACATCTAAATTTTTTTTTTGTCATAGTAGTACAAAAACACAACAATCTTTAAGAAGTTCATCTTTAAATCCAGACAATAAATTAACAGTAATTTTTCTTCACAAAACTGAATTTTGTTTCTAACTCCATGAATTGACCTTTGAATTCCTAATGGTTTAGTTTAATGAGAGAAAAAAGCACCCACCTGTATAATATCAACACAAATAATTTTTTTTTCTATTCATTCTTGTAATAAATTGTTTTGACAATTCTTAGTCATCATTATCACGGGGACTAAAAGATCTTTTTTTTATAATGATAAAAAATAATATAAATTTTGTTAAGAGAAAAATAAAACCAAAACTAAAAGATAAATGTAGAGATCAACAAATATAAAAATATATCAACTTACCCTATTTATATTTATGAAAAAAATTAAATTATTGATTATATGAGATAAATTACAAGATTTTTAATTTAAATTTTTTATATATATCCTCTTAGGTAAATCCTAAAACCAAAAGAATTTAGACCTTTTCTCTTATCCTTTTTAGAAATAAATATTAGAGAACACCCAAGGCAAGTGTAGTCAAAATAATCCTCATATTTTTCCTACCAAACCTTAGAGAATCAAATTCTAATTTTTTTTATCCTCTAGGATATTAGAATAATAAATTTGAAGCTGAGTCACAATTATGATTTCCTACTTGGGTGAGATGGTTCATCAGCATCTCATAATAATCATGAAGACAACTACACCCATCTGAGGGCATCCCATCCCCAGATGGGATTGCTTCGTCCCTCCTCGAAATCACTAGTGTCAGCTCTTGTCCTGGGAAGCCTTTTTCCCGAATGTGATATAGACGTGGGGAGGATAACTATTGCTTAGCTTGAGACTACGAACAGGAGAGGATACCGAAGGTAGGAAGAAGAAAGTAGTTCAGTCAAATAAGCAGGCAATTCCAGTCTTAACACCCATAGGACCAAACACACAATACATCAGAAGTCTTCTTCTCGTCTGGAACTGACAATAAACACCCTTAAAGCAGGGTAGAGTATATATATTCATGTAGAGAGAGAGAGAGAGAGAGAGAGAGAGAGAGAGAGAGAGCAACGGACCAGAAGATGATTTCGCCAGTGTGGGGGCGAAAGATGTGCAGGGCGTGGCCGACGTGTTGGAGGACGCTGCGGTAGGGACCGTGGGAGAAGTGGCCAGGAAGAAACGGATCGGCATCGGCATCGCCATCTTCCCTTCGTCGCATGCCATGGCCATGACCTTCACTTCCTTCACCAAGCATCCACTGCAGCTGATCCCGCAGGTTCGCCTGGCTCACCTCCAGGTCATGGAACCTCTTCACCAAGTCCTCCATGGAGCCACCCATGGATGAGTTCGTTCAGGAGCTCCGAGGCGGCGGTATGTCTTGGAACATAAAGACAGCATGAGACGTGATCAGAATGGCGCCGGCTCTGCTGCTTCGTCGTGCCATCTGTCTTTGTCGTTTGAAGCGCACACGTCTTTCGAAATCCCGGAGACCCAGGTTTTCATCCTCGCTCCTTTTTTCTCGTCCCGATGCCTTACGTCGACGCCGTAATATTATTATCTTGCCGGTGTTTAAGGTGTTACAAAGTGGCTGGGGGAAACAGCTTTACAGCGCCGCCAATGCTTGGCCGACACGACGGCCTGTCAGTCCACTTCTTTTATTTTGGGGGGTGGGGGGGGATCGACAGCCTATTACCGCCCGCAGAGCTCGTGGAAAATAATAAACGGACATATTGTATGACTGCAAGAACAGATGACGGAGACATATATTAAAACCTTTGTATGATGAGATTGAGAAGGAAGAAGAATTGAAGAGCTTATTCCTATATATATCAAGTTCCTTTGAAATGGACTCAGATGTGGTGTGACCAAGTCCGGACAGGGATATAGGTGGCAGCCGTAGACCCAACTGCGGGACGAAGGGGTGGCTGCGCGCTTCCCGAAGTGACTCTTTCTTCGCTTCGACCTTCCACGGGGTTCGTCCACATACGGCTCCCTTTCAACGAGGCAGCCGTGGGGAATTGCGCCCTGGCACTTGTGGAAGCTTACCAACAAAAGGTAACTTCTTCCCCCGTCCAACACACTCACTGGCCTCATCTCGGGTTACCTCGGCATTCACCGGAAACCACCGTGGAAGGAAGTACAACCATCCTATCTATGTTGGCGAAGCTTTCTCTCCACCGCTAAATTTATGTCACCCGATTCCGGTAAGATTATCGAACAGCTAATGAAGTCTGCCTCTGCCACTGCCGAATACTGTGACGAGTGGCTGCAAGCGACCTATCATTCCTAAGAGCTAAAATTTCGGGTGGAAGCTTTTGGCACCGTCCTCTCCCGGAAACTGATAGCTCGTAGAGACTAGATATTGAAATTGTTTTGTCTTATGTCTTTTTGTATAAAGTGGATGCTGAATTTATTGATCATTTTATTTTATGCTATGAAGTATTTATTCTAAAGGGAGTCGAAGAGGGCGGCTAACGTGCAAAGGATTTTGGTGGAATTTGATTCCAAGTGCTTAATTAACAATTATCAATGGTCAATGTGATCCTCCCTGGTAAGTTTTGTTGATTACTCAATTGTCCATATCTTTTAAACCTTTAGAGAAGAAAACATAATTGCTGATTGACTGGTGAACATGACAAGAGAGTTTAGCAAGTTTAAAGTGTTTTGACAACAAGTTATTCCTTTGAATAATCTTTTTCTTCTTTGAAACAAAAATATATATATAGTGATGTGTCGGTACGTGTTTTTATCGTTAAAGTATGCACAACCACCACCTCAACAAAATACATGTCAATGCCCCGATATCGACCAAAGACTTGACAGTACAATGCCACAAAAAAAAAAAAAAAAAACAAGAGTAATCCGTCCACAGGAGGTGTACATCTAAAGACTCCACTCATGGGTTAGCGTCTCAGTTTCATGGTTTCTTTGCTGCCTTTAGGATGCTTTCTTGTTTGATCAGATTGGCTCTGACCAACACGGCCCTTACATCTCTCTCAAACTCGACGCCAGTTTGTAGGGCACGCTGGAAGGTGGCATTTCTTTGATCAGCATGCCTTGCATAGAGAATTTTGTTATGGGAATCTATTCGAGCCTGCAGCCAAACCATACGACAAAGAAATAATGATGTCTGACTGGAAAGAAGGTATAGTTTGAATATCTTCTTTAACTATAAAAATCATAAATTTTGCAAGCATTTCTTTCCCGTACACATTTAGTCTCGACCAGGGAAAAAAAAAAAGGGAAGGGATCTTACTTGAATTTGGTTATCAGTAATCAAGGCTTTGAGTTCTTTCTCTAACCCAGCAACATTAGTTTTGAAGGCACCGGCCATCATGTGCAGATCAACAGAAATGAATGGATGTGTATATTGAATAATGGCTTTGTGACGAATCTCAGTGTAAAGTGTTTCAACATGATCATGCAAATGGATATCCAATAATAAATTTGGTTTGAGCTTCTCAAGGTACTCCAGGCATGAGGCATAGCGGCTGCAATGGAACATTGTGCTCAGAATGAGAACAAGAAACAGTTCATCCAGAACTAGCAGTTTAGAACTTCATGAAGATGGAAATAAAGTCATCCGATGAAATGACAATCTCTGCAATTTTAAAGCAATCCACCACTATATATATAACTTGCCGGAAAAGTATAGGTATGCTAACTTTAACCGTATGTTATCAAGAGATTATACATCATGCAAAGATGCCATGCAACTTAGCTAGAAATCTTTACATGCAAAAGTCGCCTCAGCTATGTTTAATTCCCTTTTTTGTCTCTTCAGCTCACACATGTGCTTGTCATACACATAGGAGTTTGTCAAAGAAAACAACTCAATCATCTGATAAAATCCTACTTAAAATATGACAAAAAAATAAAGAACACTTCAAATACATCTCTCAGTGGCAAAGAACTTATACTAACCTATATGATAACCACTCAAGAAAAATATGTCGCCACGAGTAGGGATATTTAAAGAGAATTCAAGAATCATCCCAATTCTTATGAGCTTCAATAATATATTTTCTTTACGTATCTTTGCATTCCCCAACACTACATTACAGTTTCTTGTATTGTCCAACACCTAGTAGGGATAATAATATTTAAAGTATTGTTAGTTAAGCATCAGAGATGTGAATCTTCAAAACTATGGATGGGTAAGTTATGTCTCTTATACTATATATAT